TTAAATGAACAGCTGAAATCGGAGCTGGTGAAAGCTACCCCTACTTCATCTTCCATTTTAGATGCATCAGTTTATAATGGAAAGAAGTCTCCGTATTGCTCCAGAAGTTGGTTGAATGCTACATTGAACATCCTGTGATTTGCATTCTTTTCGTCAAATTGTAGCAGTCCACATTCAATGTTGGCTCGGTGGATTATCCAGGGGGGAGTATTGGGTGTATTGGAAGTTGAGAAAATACTTGGTTGTTTGAGTTGGAGACTCGAAAGATACTGGTTATATCTTTGGTGAAAAGGAGGGTCTGCTCTGATTTTTTTTGGAAAAATGTTTTTGAATCTCTGTGCCATTACATTGTGGTGTACCGGATTTTCTCCATTGGATATGATGGATGCTGCGTAGTTAAGTGTCAGAAGCTTCCTTCTGTTGGCTTATGATGGTTCACCTGCTTCACAGTATAAGCTTTCCGTTGGACTTGTGCAAAAAGCTCCGAGGATAATTCTGAGAGCGTTGTTGTGGATGGTTCTCAGTTGTTTTAATAAGGATTTTTTGGCAGAGTTGTATACTATTGCCCCATAGTCCAATTTAGACCTTATCAGTGATCTATAAATTAACATTAACATCGACGAGTCTGAACCCCAGGTTCGAGAGGCAACTGTTGGGTCCATTATGACAAGTCATTTTTAAATATTGGACGTGGAGTTTCCAGTTCAATTTTTGATCAAATATCAGTCCTGAGATTTTGATGTACTCAACATATTCAATATTTTGTTCATATATTTGTAGTTTGGGGGGGGTTGCTTTGGCTCTTTTAGAGAAATTAATATATTTGGTCGTTTTTTGAGATATTTTCAATCCAGTTGGAGAAGACCATTTCTGTATATTGTTGAGGAATTTCTGCAAGTGGTTCTGACTGGTGACGACATTCTTTCCTCTAGGTCACTAATTTGAATAAATTGCGTTATAAAGTAGTGAAAAGTACAAGTCCAACAGAGAAAAAGCGTATTGAAAATTAAGTCCATGTTATAAAAATTTGTAATCATTATCATGAATAGTTTCTTTTGTCAAATATATTATTTTGTTGAACAAAAAATAGAAAACCTTATCAGCAACTATTACAAACAAATTCCTACCAAATTATATTTCACGTAACGAAATCTTCTCAGTAACCCATGTATTCCAAAATGAGATGGTCTTATTTCAAAACATATATGTGAATAAAGATGTCAATTTGTAATCAAATGTTAAAATTTAATGAAGAATCATTCCAACATGTGAGTTCATTGTACAGTGCATTTTTTTAATGCCCCACCTTTTATCTTTTCAACGGGTCAACTCAAAAAATTGAATACATGAATACTTCATTTTGGAGTGGAATTGATAGATGAAACTTTCAAGATGGCGACTGGAGACCATCTGGGAAAAAAATTAAATTGAAAGGGGGAGCTTCTGACACATTTTTCTGAAGCTCCTAACAAATACTTCATAACCCTAGAATATAATGTTAATATTTTCGACAACTACAAAATAGCGGAAATTTTAATAATTGCCTGAATACATTGACTACATAATATGAGGTAATAAGCTTGAGGGAAGTTCAGAAGCTGCTCAAAATGGTTGCCTTGAACTTCTTGTCATAATAACAGTCTATTCCTTATTTCACGCCGAAAATTTTCGAACACAGTAATGTCAATATCGCTACAAATATTTATTATTTTTTCCCGTATATCCAATATTGAAGCAGATTCAGTTTCGTACACCTTTTGCTTCAAGCAGCCCCATGAAAAAAGTCCAAAGGTGTCATATCTGGAGAGCGGGCTGACCATTCTGTTGGTCCCCGATGGCCAATTCAACGACCGGGAAGAGTAGTATCCAAAATAGTTTCTCACTTTTCTGGAGTGAAGTGGTGGTGCTCCTTCTTGTTGGAATACAAAACCCATATCGAATTCATTAGGATTCGCTTTGACGATTCCAGTGATGAGAGGGTCAACAGTAGTTTCCAGTATATTCAAATACAGTTCCCCTATTGTTGTTGAATTTTGATCATTGAATAGAGGTCCTACAATATGGTTTCCCAATATTCCTACCCAAACGGTATTTGTTTCTGGATATTGGGTATGTGTTTCCCGAAAAACGTGAGGGTTGGTGTCACGGCAATTTTGTCACTAAAACAAATATTGTGGAGATAGGTAGGATGCCTTGCAATGGTTTCCGTCATGATTTCACAGAATTCTGTTCTTCGATCAGGGTCATCTTCAGTTAATTGGTGTACCATTTTAATTTCAAATAGGCGATACGTATTCCTCTTTAAAAGTCTCCACACCGTAGAAGGAGACAACTCACAAACTTTCGCGACGGAATAAGTAGACTGTTCAGGATTTACTACTACCGTCTCATCAATTATTTGCACTTGCTGTTCTTCCGGAATGGACGAATGACCTGGGGACTTTTAGTAATGTGCACTACCGGTAGGGGTGAATTTGGATACAAGTTCCATCAAATATTTTCTAAAGTAAGGACGATTCGGAAAACGTTCATTGAAAATCCTTTCGGTCTCGTGGAAGTTACGCGTCGCACCGTAATCAAAAATCGCTTCAATTCTTTCTTTCAATGGACGAAAGCTGACCATTTTAGAGATTGTTGACGTGGTACCTTTCTACTACTAAAACCGAAAACTAAATGAGAATATTCTAACTGAACAATGAAGTTCATTGTCGTACTGACATTTTTTGTCATTTTTATGAACAAAAAATAACTCAACAAACCTTATCGGGTTGTTGAAATTGCCATATGGCAGATATTAATGTGTTTGTCTTCAGGTAATTATTAAATGTTCCGCCATTTTGTAGTCGGTGAAGATATTGACTTCATATTCTAGGGTTGTGAAGTATTCATCAAGAGCTTGAAAATGATGTGTCGCAAGACCCCCCTCTCCAATTAATTTTTTCCCAGTCGCCCAGTCGCCATCTTGAAAGTTTCATCTATCAATTTCACTTCGAAATAAAGTGTTCATGCCACTTGCATCTGTCGAATATAATGCAATGCTTTTCGTGGTATTAGCCAGGAGAATAGTTGTTTTCTGATAGTTTTCAGTCCATTAACCGACAGTGTAGGGAGTTGAGACTGGCCTGAATGAAATGTTATTTTGGATGATTCCTTTATATTATTGAACCATCTGTAAGAAACATTTTTCACCACCAGAAAGATAATACGGTCATTCGACGCGCGTTTCGAAAACCAGGTTAGCATCATCAGGATATGTAAGTGTTTGTGTCTTTCGACAACTTGCTCCAATTCACACGTGTCTTCAAGACCTAAATATTCACTTATACTCTATTATTTTCTCAATGATTGATATAGTTTTTTCGAATTGAAAGGGATATATTTTTGGAATCAATCAATATTTTTTTGACATTTACATGTATTGGAATTGTCAATTGGTAAATTAGTACATTGAAATAAAATTAAAATGTACATCAAAAAACAAAAATAAAAAGTTTAAAATCCTACACTGTAATTTACATCACACACATAGTCACATATTATACATTTTTATAAAATCACATATTTTTCCATTAAAAAGTTCTCATGTTTAAATGAAGACAATTTATTTATACAATTTAATTCTTTTGGAAGATTGTTGAATATTTTGAGGCCGAAATGATCAAGAGCACATGAATTTTTTTTTTTGCAAAATTCATATGAAAATTTTGCATTTTTCTTGTTCCATAACCATGAATATCCGAAATACGAATAAAAGTGTTCTTATTATTAAAAACATGGACACACGTTTCGAAAATGAAGAAACATGGGAGCGTCAAAACACGAAATGTTTTTAAAATAGCTCTACACGATTCTCTATTAGAAACTCTCGCGATACATCTCAAAATTCGTTTTCGTTCAATGAAAATATCTTTCGCGCCTGATGGATTGCCCTATAGGCAAATGCCATATCTGAGTCTCGATGACTTGAGCATAACAAACATTCACCATCTGTTTCACTTCTAGAACAGATCGAAAATTAATAAAGAGATATTTAAAAGAAATCAGTTTGGAAGATAATTGTTGGCAATAGAAAGAATTTCCACGACAGATGTTCCTCCAGAGATACTTTCAAAAGCCTAACCTCTGCATGTGTATTCTGCATTGTAATTTCACCAATTTTGACTTCAAAATCATCAATATTTTTTTGGCGACAGTGAAATCTTAATAGATTGATTTTAGTGGAACGAAGGTTTTGGCTTTCTACTTCTCCATCTTCATACAAAAAATATAGGAATCTTCCGAAGAAAATAAGAAAGCAATTAACTTCAAAATGAACTATATACAAAGATGTGTACACCATGCAAAGAAGTAACTTTCAGACTGAAACTGGAAGACCTCTCGCAACAGCTACTTCCATATAAACATTGAATTACACGGAAGAAAAATACTTTTGAAACAACTACTTGTATATGAGTATTGAGTTATATAAAATCACTTTTTTCTATACAGTTTGTTCTCCAAATTGAATCAGATATCATCTTGTGATGTTATCTAGATTGTTGCTGAAAATGCAATGAGGCAAGTGTTCCATTCGGAAACATAGGATGTCTGCCATGGAGGATAATAGTGTTCCATGTGAGTTCCAAGTAGTTGTATCGAAAGTACTTTCTCTTTCGTGTCAGTTAATGTTTATAGGAGAGTAGTTATTTCAAGAAGATGTTTTCTTCTAGTTTGTGTATGAAAGTTACTCCTTTGCATGATCTAACTATCTTTGTAAAGAATTCATTTCAAAATCAATTGTATCCTTCCTTTCTTTGGAGGATTTCCACATTTTTGTTTATAAGGATAAGTAAGTAGAAACCCAAAACCTTTCTTTTCCATAAATTTCTTTGCACTGAATCTATATAACGTCATTTATTCACACCAATTTTATTATTCAATTCAGGATTTTTGTTTTTGCATTATCCTATAATTTCGAATAAAATCAGTTTTCATTCTATGATATTTTTTATCGATTTCAGAATGTACGACAATGTGCCAAAAATGTTTGTGCCACTGTTCTACTTTAGTCAGAATATGAAACTGGCAGAATATGCCAGATCTCAAATAAGAATGCTTCAAAATCTGCCAGAATACAGCAACTACCTCTTCTACGTTCTGCTAAGTCTAGGATCCATTTTGATACTCTGGGCGGTATGTTCCTGTATCTGTTGCTCAAGATCCACAGACAAATTTGAGCTGAATGGTAAAATGATCAAAAACTCGCTTCACGAAGAGGTACCATTGAAAGAACAGACAAGCCAAAGAAAGTATACCTTTCACAAAGTCAAGAAGTGAATGGTCCAAGCATACATGACATTGATATTAGCTTAAGCGTAATATTTGTAAATAAATTTTTTATTGTTGTCATATTTTTATTGGTTGATTTTTTTTACGAAATCTCATGATATTTCAAGAAAGGTTTCATTTCAAGAATTTCTATTGGTCAAGGTAGATAAGAGATCTGTTCAACAGCCAAGGTGAGTGTTCAAATTTCGCGCACTACGTTCAACTTTCACTGCCTGAACCACTGTGCATGCTGTTTTTGGCGAGCGCATTGGCTTGGGATGTGGGGGTTGAGCAAGCCGACCATTAGATGCCCGCTTCCACGTAGCCCCGCTGGATACTAGAATGGCAGAATCACTGAATAGCATCCCAACGATGGCTTAATCATAAGGTGTATGTATCCATGTCGAGAGTGTCGACAGCTGACATGGATGTATCCATGTCAGCTGTCTCTACGGAACCTTTGAGATACCGGGCACCCTCTCGTCGTAGCATCGCCTTTTCACGGTAATGCGGGGTTCTGCTGTGATTGACCTTCTTTCCCTAGCTACTCGTGGGACTTCTATGGACAGAGTAAACTTAAAAATTCTTTCTGACGCTGAGTCTACAGAGTAGATGGATGTCGAGCTTACGACTCCAACTGACCTCTCTATAAATTTAGATCAGGAGCGAGAGCTTCTCAACTCTACAACTCCTGATCCAATAACTGAACCCTTAAAAAATGGTTTGGTGGTGCAGCCAAGAAACGACTGAGTCGACTCCTCAAGAGCGGGATACCTTATGAAATCACCTTGCACCAAATTCTTGAGCGGCGTACGCAGAATCTGTCTCAAGTGGAGGAACAAACACCCCCCAGGAGCAGGTTAGCAAACGTTTGCGCTCAATAGGTGATGATTCACCAAAACCAGAGATGAAAAAGCCCTGCACAGTTGAATCTAAGGCATCGTCAGGTGTAGCTGACGTGCAAAAACGCTCATATGGAAAGAATGTCGCCTGTATCAAGGTGGGAGTCTTACACTTTGACTATCCGATTACCTTATTAATGATGGAACAGCAGAGCATATACTTTGTGCCTTCCCCGCTGGGGACCGAATCAGGTCTTTAGAGTTCGGCAGAGCCATACTCTTACCATCTGACCTGAAAGACCACTCACTATACAAACTAATCGGCTTCGTTAAGAAGCTGGGATTACTTGGTCGAGTGTGACTAGGTGTGAGCCACAATAAACCCTTGGGGGCTGCGGTGGAGGGTCGAATAGACCCACTCACTTTGGACCTAACCTAACTTAAGATTCGATTAGTGATTTATTTTTTCATATTGTACACTCGTCCCAAATATATTTTTACAGTTTTAGCTGTTCAGCATGTTTAATTTTTTGTGAGCGGCATAAAAGTTAGAAGTGTTTCGCGTGTTTGGCGATTATTTGCTATCGACAAAAAGGATCAAGAAATTTGCATCAAATAATGAAATGCCGACAGTGGCATACAGTGATTGTGCTCTGAGTCGGAAAAATGTTCACGAGTGGTACAACCGATGGAAATGTTAGAAAAGTGAAAAAATTTTTTATGGAGAATCGTCAAATCACTATATGAGAAGTCGTGGCTGTCGAAAATATCAGTTGGCACATATTATGCAATTTTTTGGAAATTCTGAGCATGAAGCTTTTTCCAAAATTGCTGAATTATGATCAAAAACACCGTCGAAGTAGCATCGTTCAGGAATTCTTCAATGACTACAACGGCAATCCAGATTTACTCAAAAGGGTCATAGCTGGTAAAGAATCATGGGTATATAATAACAATAATAACTTTATTCACAACGTATACAGATTAGAGTAAAATTTAAACAAAATATGTGAACAAAATGGTTGGCAAGAGCAGAGCTCTTGTTTCGCAAGAAGTTATAAAGTATATGTAAGTATATAAATATTTGTATACAAGTAAGTATGGCCTTCATGGAGTAGAAACAAACAACATTTTATTGAATTTTGTAAATTTGGTATTAAACAAATTATATTTCGGTTCGAGGTAAAATAGGCCGATTAAATACTAGACAAACAAAAAAATAAGAAAAATAGCTAAAACCTTGGACAAATATTACACGTTCTATAAAAATAAAATATTAATATACAAATAATATACAAATAAAATTCAACTAACTTATTTCACTCTAACAAATATTAAAAAAAAACTAATCAATAGAGTTTATTCTATGATTTCCACTATAAGGGTTTTCCAAAAACCGCAACACGTGTTTCGCTATACAATAGCTTCTTCAAGCACAAAACCCTTATAGTGAAAATCATAGAATAAACTCTATTGATTAGTTTTTTTTTATGGATTTTCATCAAGTATCGGCCAGTTCTATTCAAATATTTTTAAAATTGTCTATCTTTTTCTTATTTGTTTTTGGTTTAGAATAAGAATGGTTATGACATCAAAACCAGAGTCCAATCGTCCCAATGGAAGAGCCTAGGAGAGCCCACATCAAAAAAACCACGCTAAGTTCGATCAAATACTGAAATTTTGCCTACTGTTCTCTTCCATCACCGTGGCATACTGCATTAGGAGTTTTTGCCACATGCTCGCGTGGTCAATAAAGAGTATTATCTTGAAGTTATGCGCAATGAGCAATGCAAATAAAACAACCAGTATTGCAGAAAAACAATTCATGGTTTTTGCCTCACGATAATGCACCTGCATCAGCCACCATATTCACCAGATTTAGTCCTTTATCACTTTCTCCTGAAGGACGGCGTTTTGCAACGACTCAGGGGGGCAAATCTGATATTGACCAGATTTGCCCCCTATGACTCTTTCTGTTCCCATGACTGAAGATATCCATAAAAACGACGTTTCGCGACGATTGAGGAGCGCTGAGAGAGCTCAAGGACATACCATAAAGTGCATATCAGAACTGCTTCGAGGATTGGAAATAAATATAGTTTAAAAAACTGAAACTGAAACTAAAAACTAAAACTAAAAAAAACTAAAACTAAAAACATTTTTTACTAAAAAGTTAAAAAAAATGAATGAGCCTAAAACAATTACGAACAAGAAATACTAGTATTATTGTGACAAAAGCAGCGGGTACTTGATATACAAAAAATATGGGACAAAGCGCCCACGCTTTTTAAGGCCAATTTTGAAAAAAAATATTCGTAACTCTTTTGTGTTTTTAAGTTTTTTAAACTATATTCATTTCTAATATTTTAGTTTCGTATGCTATAAAGGAGTGTTTTTTAGTCTTTTCAAACTATATTTATTTTATATAAACTTTGGGATCAATCAGCCGTATATTGTGTAGAAAATGACCATTGATGTTTTCTGATTCCGGAGCAGACGCGCATGTTAATAAAAACAATACTTTTTTTAAACGAATGGATCGAGCAATAATGTCGATATATCAAGGTGGTTGCTTACAGCACTATTTGGCCGCAAATAGATCAAGCAATAATGTCAATAATTCTGTCAAATACAGATCCCGAGCTTGAGAGTTACAAGCAAACAAACAAACATACATACATACAGGTGAAACTGATAATAGCGTGTTGAATAAAAACGCTGGCACAAGTGTATTATTATTATATCTGAGGGAGACTACTTTGACGGGGACAAATTAGAAATTAACGAACAAATAAATATTTTTTGGGAAACATGAAAATTCACCTCATTTAAAAAAAAACTTTTATTTTTTCATTACGTTTCTGATGGTAGGTCAGAAAAGTATTCACAAAAATCATCACTCACATTTGTTCCATTTCCGTACTGAATTTTTTCTGCATTTCGAGTGGTGCCAATTTTCGGCTGTTCATTTTTTCATCTTGATATAGGTTGCCGAAGGAAATGTACACAAGAAGTATAACCCCAATGGTAAAAAGTTGGTTGTAACAACCTTCATCACACTAACATACCAATTCAAAATATATCGGATGATAAACATGTTTGTATGTATTACGAATTGAACACAAGTTGTATGAAAACCTAAAAAGAGCACACTGACCATAAAGCTCAACACAAACTCATACATGAATACAAAAATGAAAACATTGTGCGCCTGAAATAAACTTGAAAAAACCCTAATACGTCAGTTTTTCATGGTGTGTAGGCTTCCATGACCGGTGTATAATAAATTGTCCGCGATGTTTCCGGGTTTATTACCCGTGGTCTGCGACTTTTTCTACCTGCCGTTTTGTCTGCTACTGCGGGAGACATATTCGCAAACGTTGTGCATCGAAGCCAAGTAGATTACTTTGACCATTGCTGCATCGTATTTGATATCTGCCGCAGTATCAGACGAAACGTCGCTATTGATGGCTGCCAAACAAATACTAAAGAACGCAACGTCTTCAAACTTGAAACAAATGGTCCATGGATTGTATACTTTCTAATACAGTGATATTTTTCAAACAACTACCGCCATCTCTAGGTCAGGCCGGGTAATTCTGGGACAACCCTATTACCAGTGAGAGAAACTAAGATATAAATTAATGGATGTAGCCGTTACTACGTGGTAGAATATCATAATGAAGAAAAGGGAAATGAAACTTTCTATGTTTTTTACCACTTTTATTTGTAACTAACGTTATTGCAGTTTCGTCCCATACGGACATTTTCAAACTTATACAATCTTTATTGTATAACTATTGCATCAGCTAATATACATTTTATTTTCGTTAGGTACATCGCAAATATACAACGAAAGTGTTCTACTAACCCTGACAGTTTTGTTATGTGTGCGAAGAATCAGCTTTTACATCCCAGCGTCGAAATTTCACCCCATTAATTGAACAGTGCTGTTAAGAATATTTTGGATTTACTGTGCAGCATCAAGATGAATTCTGGGTCCCAGATAAATGTTGTATTGGGCTTTTATTTGAGTCAAACAAAAATAAAAGGCATTACAACGAAGTCCAAACATACTATCCAGTATCCAATCTTGTCTTCGGCCAACAGACCATCGTACATAGTCCCGAACTGCTTGTGTCGAAGCCTCCAAATCGACCAGAAAGTCGGGATTCCAGCCTGGAAGAACTTGTTCGCATGAAGAATATGAAGATAGTGACACAAGTTATGAACCGCAAACACAAAGT